CCCTCCCCCCCACGCGTATTCCTCCCCGTTGTAACTGCTGTTTGGGTAAAACCACCTGAACAGTCTGACCTCGAAATGCGGCTTGAGCGGCATTCCGTTTCTGCTGCTGCGTCATCTGGACCTGAGTACGTCGAACGTCCCGTCCCCCGCCCGTGAAAGCGGCCGTAGATTTTACGTGCAGTCGGTCGAAGCGGTCCGACAGGGTAGAGCTGTGGATGGTGGGAGTAACGGCGTCGGTGACAAGTCTTCCAGGAAACGAAGAGTTCGGAGGGTTGTTCGGCATATGGTTTCCAGTGCGTGGCAGGTAAAGGATCACTCCTCCATCTTGAGCTTTTTAAAGAGAAGGATATGTCGAGGTCTGTCCAACATGACGCGTATTCCAAGGGGCGCTAGCCCCTCGAAAAGGGAGGGAAAACATACCTTGGAGCAGGACCTGACACAGCGCCGCGGCCGGCGCCACCTCCGCGACCACCGAAGAGGACCATGACAAACGCAAGGATGCTGCTGGGAAGGCCTCTGTGCGAAATTAGCGCGCCATGTGTCAGATAAATGTGAGGAGTCGATTGTTGAGCGAGAATTCTACCGTCCACAACACCTTGCGTCGACATGCCCATGGGGCACAGCCAAAACACAAAGGGCCGCGCCGACAACAAACTATCCAAGCCGGGGAGTCACGAGGCCTCTGACCGCCCATGCACTCCGTGGGCCTCGTGGGCAAGGAGGGAAAGGCACTCAGGGTGGTGAGAGGAGAAAACGAAGGAGAGGGTGGTGTTCGAGTGTTCAGTTCGCAGGCGATGCTGAGAAAAAAATGGCGCGAAACCCATGAGGTTAGTTATCCGTAGGAGGGGTTGGATGGTTGTATCTGAGTAGGCCTCATGCCATGGCCCAAAACTCCAGCTGTTCCCCAATGGACTTGTAGCATGCGAGTATGTGTATTGGTGTGGCAGGGGCTGATTCTGCGACGTCACTGCCTCACTTTTACCGATAAACGAAAAAAGGGTATACAGGACAACATGGGCCATGGCGTAGTATAGCTACGAGTATCTCCAATAGGAACACTTTTTATGAGAAAATCCGATGAAGTGGGCACGACATGTCGATCGATAACAGTGGAATAAATTAAAATCCACCACATGTGCGTTACAAACCTGAGCTGAGCTCAACATGGCCATGAAAAACTCTTCTATCATCAGTTGTGATCGTCTCTCCTTGTCCACGCTGCTGACCGACTCAATGTTCTCCAGAGACAGTTGGCTGCAGATACCTTTCACAAAAAAAATACAGGCCAGGGAGGCAAACAATATCTTCTCAGACCATCAGTATCGGTTACATGATGTTCCGTTCTTTGTTTCAATGCGGGCAATTCAGACTTTCGTTGGCATCTCTCCTCCTTCCTCTCTTTCTTTATTTTGTGCTATTGCGGCCCACTATTCCCACACTAAATAGCCTCAAACCATTCACCTTCTCGCAGAGAGTCAATTGCTCCCTTTAATCCATGTGTTCAGGATAAAATTGAAAGCGCTCCCGCAACCTGCAGAGCTCCTCCACAATGGGCTTGGCCTGTGATATGATGACGTTGGGATCTGCATAAGCACATCGCGTCACCTCTCGATTCAGCAAGTGGCAAAAATGCAAAACAAAAGCAGCCGTGCAGTGCTTGACATGCCCCTCCATTTGAGAATGCAGGTAGGACAGTGTATCGCCAGCATTCCTTCCTCTCCCCCCCTCACCTCTAACTCTGCGGCATGCGTGGTGTTGGCCAGGCGCGAGAGTTCTCGGACCACCATGGACTGTTGCCGGGTATCGATCATCACGCCTTCTCCTTGCCCGAGTCCGCCCACGGTCGGCGCCTCTTTCAAGGCCGCGTACCACTGGGTGGTCAGGTCACACAGGGCGTCCAACACATGCACCCGGGACCAGGACATGGGCCGATGGAAGGCAGGCGGGTAGGTTCTCCCGGGTTGCGAGACCTCTGGCGCCTTCATCCTTGACTCCCGGTAGACGCTCACGTGCTCCAAGAACAAGTCGATGAAGGCCCATTGCACCTGCCGCAGGGCCCGCCATGTGCGGTGGGGGAAGCAGGGGCCGGGGGAGGGAGGGAAGGAGGGAACGCGACCCAGAGCGGCGTCGACCTCTGCCTCGACTTCCAACAGGACCTCAACCAAGTATCGGAGCGGGAAGGCGCTGTTTGCGCTGGTGCTGCATTTGTCGTGGGAGGGAGGCGTGTGAATAGGGAGAGGGGCGTGATGTAAAGATAGGGGAAAAAACGATAGGGGTGCTTCTGCTACGCGAAAAGTGGTGGCAATCAGTAGGAATTAACCCTCACCCTAACCCCACGCGGTGGACGAGATTGAGCAGAAGGCGTGCGCACAACGCGAGGATGAGAAAACATTAGACAAGCGTTACCTTTTCCCACCGTCTTGCAGGCGCATGGAACGGGAGAGATGCTGGATCCGCTCGAACAGCGTACGAAGCGGCTGTGGGAAGGAGGATAACACGAACGTTGGGGACATGGGATCAAAAAGAGCGGCAGCCACGCCTTTTCTGTCTCACAGCATTGCACGCCCGAAGTTTTCTGTCTCACAGCCTCCTACGCCCAAGCATCGCTTGAGACGAGCACCTACCTTATCGTCCGAGGCGTCAAGGTCCCCGTCCGGCTTGCCTACCCCCACCCCCCGCCCCCCCCTCCCTGGGG